GAAATAATATTATTTCAATATTTTAATATTATTACAGATATAATAACTAATATAATTTCGATTGAAAGTAATATCATGAATTAGATCATTTTTTAAAAACAAAAATTAATTCTGATTCACGCTAAAGACAGCAACTGCTCCATATTATATTTTATTTTTAGTATCTTGCATATTTCAAATAATATTTTGATGCTTTTACCTTCTATCTAATGTTAAAGTATAGTCCTTTATAAAGTGGAATAGCGAAAAACCTTATCTAAGCTTATGAATTGATAACTGTATAAACCTAAGCAAAGGTGGTGATAGGGGTAGATACTTGTAGTGTTTACAATTGGCGATTGAAATGGGCTACAGGAGGGGCAACACTTCGTATACTTTCACCATTAGCGTGTAAAATCATAAAAGAAAGAAGCACGTTAGTTTCCGTCTTGATTCAGACAGATTAAAAAAAAAAATTAGATAAAATACTCGAAAAATATTAAGGAAGGGAAAAAGCTTGTAGTAGATTTGCAACTGAGTTGGAAAGGGGGAGGATCAGAATCTAGAACGGTTTTCTCCCTAGATGGCGAATTCAAGTATTGCGATCGCGAATATAATACATTGTTTTATTTTAACTTTAGCTTAATCCGTTCAATTTTAACTGATAATGAATTAAGATAATTCCACAAGCATGCTATGATACTACTCAAGAAATAACAAAGGCCGATATTTTATACATTTATCGCCAAATAGTCACTCCAAGCATGACACGCTTTACTTATGTTGTAATATACATTTTCTTATTTTCATTTAAGGATCATAACTTTTTGGAATTTAAAAAATTACGAAATACTCTTAAGAAGGTAAAATTACGCTCAAATTTAAGCACAAATCATAATAATAAAACTTCCTAGATAATCAAACTTCTTCACACATCACTTCATAAACGTAGCCTAGGTGGAGGTACACCGGAAGTTTTCTATATTTCGTCCAGTTTTAGGAGGCATGTTCAGGGCCGGCTTAAGCATGCCGCGTCCCCTAGGCAATGCTCGTCTCGGCCCCCCCTGCCCCTAGGCATTGCTCGTCTCGCCCCCCCCCCCCTATCGTCTTCTAACTTCTTAATATATTTTTTCGCTAACGCAACACTTTATTCATAATTAAGCTGTTTTTTACTACATAGGTATATTATCACATTATTCAATAAAAATATTGAATCAAACGAAAAGAATATAAGTAATTAATATATGCATTTAAAAAAAATCATACAATAAGCTTAAATATTAACTCTTCTAACTTTTTTTGTTACAAAATCGTTCAAGACATCCTGAAAGTTAACCTTTTCCAATACATCATTTTCAATTGCCATTATGGCCAATGAATTTAAACGGTTTTGAGACATAGTTGAACGAAGACAGTTTTTAATTAATTTTAACTTGGAAAATTTTCGTTCACCAGTGGCGTTTGTAATCATTAGACTTCTATATATTTGCAAAGCTGTCATTACATTCGGGAAAGTTGATTGTGCCATGTTACCAATAATCAGTTTGTAAGACTCTTCGGCAGGCACAATTTTTTTCCGGCGTCTTCTAATTGTAAGATGAAGTATTTATACTGCACCATTTCGTCTATAAACTCAGGCTCAATGTCCTCGAAATAATGTTCCTTAAACTTTGTGCAAGCCTGTCTAATTTCAGCGTCGGATTTTGTCGAGAAATCTGTTAGAAACCCAAACAGATCATTTATTTCC